AAAGGTCAAGCATAATTCCACCAGTTCTAAAAGTCTGTGTTACACAGTAATTTCCTCCCTGAAACATTTACTTTCTAAAATGACTTGCTGTATGTCGGTATCTCCTGAAAATTTCAAAATTCTTATAATTTGAACAATGTATTGTAAAAAGCCATCAGAAATGTTAAAGGTGTACTATAAGACTAAATAGCAGGAGACACAGGAATATGACATGAAATAACATAATATAGAAACTTAAATTATGCATTAATAGATATAAGCTGTGACTTCACTGCTATTATAGGTAGCCTGAACCAGAAAGTGCGCGCGCGCGCACACACGTTTCATTTCCTTGGATGCCTTTCTCTGGTTTAATACTTGAATTTTCCCCCCCTGAGTCAGCCAAAATATATATACAAATATTTTCCAGAAGAGACTATGCAACGCTATTATAACCCGAAACCTGGCCAACTCTTTCCATGGCTTCTCCATTAAGACACAAGCACGCATCTGTTCAGTCCCCTTGGACTCATTTCCCAGGCTAAGCGAGTAACCACAGTCACCTTTCTCCAGGCAAGGTGAGGATATGTTAACCCACGCAAGAAAACCCAATGAGAACAACCGGATGGTCACATTGCAACCGGACAGTCACAGTGTTTTCCAACTCTAGCTACAGGTGAGAGTTAACCCAGGAGAATGTTTTAAAACCATCAGTGCCAAAGTCCCGCCCACCAACCAAGTCAGAGTCTCAGGGTGGAGCCCAGGCAAAGGGCTGAAAAATTCTCTGGGTGATTTCCATCTCAGCCTGACAGAGAGTAACTCCTTGAAGAGAGAGGTCCATGGGCTAATATGGAAACAGGAAAAAAAAAAATTACTTTCTCAACTAAACTACTGGCACTAATAACCAAAACAATCTGCTGGCTAAAGGCCCTTCCTAGAGAATGATTTCCCACCCCCTAACCCTGAAAGGTCATGGAATTAATCTGAAAGAAATTGACTGATTTCTCTTTTTGAGAGGATAGGGGAGATAGGATCAGCGCCATCTTGTCTGGATCTTCTGGTTTTATGTTTTAGTTGAAAAAGTAATACAGGCTCATTTCAGAAGATAGGGAAAAGAAAAGAGCATCTATTTTCCCATCACATTAAAGTAACCACAATTAACTTTTATGAAGTAAAAAAAAAAAAAGTAAAAAAAAAAAAAAAAAGATTGGGATCATACTGCATATGTAGTTTTATAACTAGATAATGTCATTACACAGTGACCTATACCTTTGTTGTGAATGGCTATGGAGCAATCCATTGTTCGCAGTGGATAATATTTATTTATTAGTGATTGATTTTTGCTTTATGCTGATTCACAGACATAGTTAGGCCCCTGATCCCCTGAACTACAAACTGAGTAAGATTAATATGATAAGTATTAAAAGGAAAAGAGAGTGGTATAAAGGTAAAGTGAGGCATGCAGAAGTCCTGACAGGTAGCATTTGCAAATTTCACTGGTAAAAATGCTCTCCCCATGGCCAATTTCAAGCTAATCATTTAAGTGGCTTGCAAACTGAATATTTAACAACTAGAGGCCCAGTGCATGAAATTTGTGCACAGGGGTGAGGGGGGTCCCCTCAGCCCAGCCTGCCCCCTCTCCAATCTAGAACCCCTCGGGAGATGTCCAACTGCCAGGTTAGGCCTGATCCCAGAGATGTGCCCACAACCAAGGGCATGTACCTTGGTTGTGGGCACATCCCCAGTAGGGGGTATGCAGGAGGCAGTTGATCAATGTTTCTCTAACTTAAAAACATCAATGAGAGAGAAACATCAATCAACTGCCTCCTGCACACCCCCTACTGGGGATGTGCCCACAACCAAGGTACATGCCCTTGACGGGAATCGAACCTGGGACCCTTCAGTCTACAGGCCAATGCTCTATCCACTGAGCCAGACCAGTCAAGGCTTAATTTTGTATCTTTATGAGTTAAATCAGGGATCTGCAAACCATGGCCTGTGGGCCCAATCATGCCTGTGTTTGTACATGAAGTTGTACAAAAACTTTTAATGGAACACACCAAGCCCGTTTGTGTGTGTAATTCTATAGCTGAATAGCTGAAACAGAGACCCTATGGCCTGCAGAGCATGAGGTATTTACCATCTGGTCCTTTATAGAAAGTGTGTTGACCCATGATTTTTAACCATTCTAACCTTTGCTTAGTGAATACTTTTAAATTATACACAAATACACACACACACACACACACACACACACACACACACACACACACACATAAAACCAAGCAAATAAGAAGAGGAAATGAAAAGGAAGAGATGAGAAGACCCTCCTAGGATTTTAGAAATTCCAAACTACATCTTGGTTCCAAGAATACCTAAGCAATACCCAAGACTCCAGATGAAGCCAAGCTCGGATCCCGTCTCGTCACGACAGTGAGCTGTAAAGAATGTTTTGTAAATGAAATGTTCCAAAGATGGCCTACTTCTGGATCAGGAATGTACCTTTGACTATGGACCCTGGGAGAGTGAATGCAGAAGGCAGAAACATGGAATATTATTTATAACCTGGCAGTGAAAGTGACTGAAACCACATTAGTCAGGAAAAAGAAGCTGATCTCCCTAACTACAGGTAAAACAACATTTCAAACATTGAAAAATGTACACAATCAAAACTGTCCAGGGCAGGGGGTTTAAGAAACCATTTCCCCTGCTAATTTTTGATGTTTACATGGAACATTCTTCAAGCAGCAAATAACTTACCAATGATCTTGACAGATTGAAAGTGATACATCTTTACCACAACATAAATTCATCCTCGCGGTGGGAAATTGCTAAAATAGGCAAGGTGTCAGAAAGATTTCTTTAGGGCTGAGGGAAAGGAAATGAATGATTCCATTTCGCCCGAACATTCTTACATGAAAAATAATAAACTCTCACTTCTAAACTGTCTTTATTTTCCTGGGATTCTAAGGAAACTCACTAACTGAGGCAGCCATAGTTACCTGGTGCTGGCCACAAGTCAGTCAGTATCAAGTCATGCATAAAGCACACCCGGGTGCATAACTGCCCCTTCATTTATATTCTGTATGAGTAAATCTTTTTTAAAAAAATATATTTTATTGATTTTTTTTTACAGAGAGAAAGGAAGAGAGAGAGAGCTAGAAACGTCGATGAGAGAGAAACATAGGCCAGCTGCCTCTTGCACATCCCCTACCGGGGATGTGATCGCAACCAATGTACATGCCCCTGACCGGAATCAAACCTGGGACCTTTCAGTCGCACACAGACCGACGCTCTACCACTGAGCCAAACCGGTTTCGGCTGTATGAGTAAATCTTCACAGAAATACTCAGAAAAGGCGATCACAGAATTACATTCCCACAGCACGCCTTAGGTTCACACAGTAACTGTTACACAACATGCTGGGAAGTAAATCTTCGCAGAAGGAAGTACAAGGGAAGCATGGGGGCCGATGTGAGGAAATGGACAAACGCCCAGCACAGAGGAACTGACTCATCTTCTATGGAAGAATGACCCTGATCTGTTCCTGAAGCCACCAGATGGAGACTCCAGGTGGCATAGACAAACACTTATTGGACGCCGGGTGCATACAGGGGCTCTCACGTTAGACTCGAACACAGAATCTGTGGAACGTGTGCTTAGTAACTTGTGAAGGGAGCTGTTCAGGTCTAACTGCCTCCAACACCGATCCTGTCTCCACCATGCCCAACGCTGACAGAACACAGGTGTCAGTCCTCCTTGAGCCCCCGAGATGCCCGTGGGAAAAGAGGTCCCAGAATCAGAGTCAACTAAGTTTGGGAGATTTTACTAAGTTCTCCCCCGGAAGAATAACAATGTGTATGAAGACCCTGCCTTAAGGAAACCAGTTTTCCTTCGTTCAACCCAGCATCTTCCCACACAAAATTGGGAGTCCCTTCCCCCAGGGAGCCTCCTCTCCCTGGTCACCGTCTTGCCTCCCCACTCATCTTTCAAGGGGAGCCTTCCCTGGTCCGCCGGACCTCTCTCTGGATGCTTTCACAGCACTGAGCTCCTCCACAGAGCGCTTGTCATGGTCGCAGTGTCGTAGCTACTGGTGCATTTATTGGGCTAATACCTGGGCCTCTACTCCCACTGGGGAGAAGGAACATATATTCGCTGCTTCTCAGATGGCAAAAAGAAAAGGAGAGACCTTTCCGGCTTCTTTCTACCATCTTTCCTCACTCCTGCCCCCGGGGGGCAGTGACTCAGTGGATCTCTGAATTGGGAGAGTGCACAGGGATCTGTGCGCACTGAGGTAAGCTTAGAGGGTGATTGAGAAAATAAGTTAAACCCCAGGGAGACCTGCTACGAAGCCCTATGGGTACGGATCCACGCTGTCCAGTAGGTTAGCTTTCTGCACGAATAAACTTGATTTTGAACTTCACCTCTGCCTGCTGTTTTACTTTTCAGTGACTTTCACTTTGGGGAGGGGAAGACAAGAGTGTGCTTGTGGACCCCCTAGAAGGCCAATGTCTTCCACGAGGCCCATGCTCTTCGGGACAGACACTCTCCTTTGCCTGGCACGGGGAGGGTCTCTAAATATTCTTACAACAATCATTTTATTGTGGGAACCATTTTCCAGAAGCAAAGACTGGGAGACTGGTGTCCTGAACCCCTGTGCCCTCATCATGCAGTTTCAACCATAACCGACACGTGGCCATCTTGTTTGCCTGCTCCTCCACCTGCACAAGGCCAAGTCATCCTGCCCCTTGCACGTAAGACATGGCAAGGGCATGACAAGTATAAATCCATTGTCACATACATACGATGAACAGCAATTCACATTATTTCTTCAATCATAAGTAGATGAGTGAACCAACATCTACCCGGACTAGTCAAGGGTAAAACAGGTGGGTCTGAGTCACCACCTATCTCTGGCCCCCAGCACACACACACACACACACACACACACACACACACACACACTCACACACACACACTCACACTCACTCTTCACCAAGGGGGAGAGCCGAGCCACTCACCGGTCGGGGTGCTGCTGCGGAAGGAGGAGGAGGGTGTGATGGGCGGGGTCACGGGGGGAGTAAGGCTTCCGCTGCTGTGGCGTGGCGGCGTGGACACATTCCCCCGGGACACGGAGCTGGACAAGGTCAGCGAGAGCTTGGGCTGGATCTTCTTCTTGAGGGACTCCTGCTCCCGGCGGGCGGCGTCGGTCATGAATCTGAAGGGACAACGGCAGGTGAGTGACCGGGCCATGTACAGAGCAGGAGGACTATGATAGTTACCCTGAGTCTGACAGATGCCCCCTCCTGGGAAAGGGGCTTGTTCACAGGTCTGCCCTCCCCCTCAAAGCTCACACCAGAACCCGTTTTCCGACACAGTGAAAGCATCTGCTAGCTGGTTGGTTTAAGGCCCCTCCAAGTCTGGCCCATGTCTTCCCTAGGCAAACCCTCCTTGTGGGAAACTCACCCCCAGATTCCAGCTGCACCCACAGCACCCACAGCGCCCACAGCAGTGGTCAGTGCCAAGCCCTGTCCTCTCTGGGGAGGTCCTCTCTCTCTCTGCCTGCAGAAAGCCCGCCCATTCCCAGCCCCAGCCACTCCCAGGGAGAGAGGGCCCTCTTGGGAGGTAGTTAGCATCATGGTCACATGAAAACGATTCTTGTGCCTGACTCCGGGTTCTCACATTGTCCTTTTCAATGTTTTAACCGAGGGAAGGCCTTGTCTCTACAGTCATTAGCTGAAAGGAAGGACCCCCTTCCCACAGTGGTTGCTAGCACTCTGCAGGCCCATGTCAGCAAGCATTTATGGAACGACCGAATCAGCCAGCCCGGGCGCATTCAAAAGGAAGAGACGCGCTCAGTGCGAGGAGGAAGAGCACGCGGAGCATCTGTGTATGATTTTATTGCCCATAAAGGGGGCCTTTCCCGATAACTGCATCTTGGGAACTTCAAAATTATTCTTTCAACACTCCTCTTGGGACAGTAATATTCAAACTGTTCTTTCCTCACTGCATAACATAATATTCCATAAATTCATGTAATATGAGATTCAAAACAATCTATGAAATATCTCTTACCTAAAGAGCAAGTATCTTTTTTTGTATTATTGTTATTAAAAATATATATTTTTATTGATTTCAGAGAGGAAGGGAAAGAGAGAGACAAACATCAATGATGGGAGAGAATCATTGGTTGGCTGCCGCTTGCATGCCCCACCGTGGTGATTGAGGCCACAACCTGGGCATGTGTCCTGCCCGGGAATCAAACTGTGACCTCCTGCTTCATAGGTCGATGCTCAACCACTGAGCCATGCCAGCTAGACTGTAAGATTGGCAGGCAGACTTTACCAATGGTGTTTTTGAAAACTGCAATGGGAAGCCTAGTGAACTGAGTGTTTGAAAGCATCTGGGTAATAAACCAGGGACCTGTGCCCACTGCCCAGGCTAAAAAACAGAACATCACCGACCTCTCAAGCCCTCTACGTACCGTGCCCCCTCCATCAATTGTGTTTTGACCATTTCAATACAATTCATCATAAATTCCACTGCACTTAAACATGCTGTTTCACTCAACCCATTTCACATCCTGCCCACAAAACTCCCTAGCATTTGTCTTCCTCACGTTCTAAACTTTGGGACACCAACAGATAGTTCTGATGCCTGGTGAAAGCCAAGAGTCAATCAACCACCCAATGAAACAATATTCCAATATCGTTACAGTGTCTTAAAGCGCCTACTTTTGTACCTGGAGCATGAATGGCGCATTTTTTGGATGGCTTCTGCAAGACAATCTAGATCTATAAACTGCATTTTATATGCAGAACTGAACTGCAGTAAAAGCTGCCTGCTTCGCCTTGAGCGCTTAAGATTGGTGCTACAGGATGGCGGTGATTTAAAAAGAAAGGCACAATGCAAAGCAGAATTGCTTGCACCCGGTAGCAGATACTCGTTTCTTTTCAGATGGCTCTGCTGCTCTTAAAAACCGCCTTTTTATCCCCTCTCCATAAACGTCTGCTCAAAATGTGGCCTCTCAGAGAAAAGCAAGGAGCTAGGGCTGACTTTTATTATTCTACCAGCGGCTGGTGCTGAGCTTCTCAACATGGGGCTAGCAGTGTGGTCAGAACCACAGACCGGGCGTATGCTCCTTCCAGGAGGGCCAGTAGTGCTCAGGGTAAGAGTTCAAGTTCCTGTTTCAAATAGTCAGATACACACAGGTATGCTGTGGGAGAGGACAATAAACTCACATCTCACATTTGGGTGAAAAAAATGGGACTAGGAGGAGTGGGCCAGATTACTGACTACATGATCGAGGCAAGCTAGCTGAGAAACATCTCTAAACCTCAGTGTTATTTCTATGAAATGGGACTAACAGTTATAGGAGAAGGGTTGACATGCTTCTGTTCCCTTTCTACAGGAGAATTTGATCTTTGGTTAATCGCGTACCCTGCTAAGATACTCGTATGTCAACTGTGCTCCTCAGGATAAGACCCATCCAAGACTGGTCCATCACATCTAGACCGGGAGGAAGGAGAAGTCCATGCAAATGATAGGATGACAGAACCTGGGCTTCCAGCAAGGGGACCTTGTCCCAGAAATGTCCCGGTGGGGAACCGGGAGCATGCCCCTGGAATGTTCCAGAGCCCAACCCCCTCTCCCACCCGGGTAGCTCCCACCCCTGCCCCAGGGCCACCTGACTCTGCATCTGAACAGAATGCCTACCCAGGACTCCGCAGAGGTGGACACTGTCTGGCTGTCTGCTGTGGCTAGCCCACTGCCCCTCTGAACAGACCCAGTGCCCACCATGTCCCTGGTCATCTTGTGAGTCTCCGAGTTCACGATGTGAGAGGACCACCTGCTGGGGACCAGGACAATGGATCAGCACCCAGAGCTGTTATCGTTACACAAAGCTTTCCACTGCGGGTTTATCTCCATCCCTGACCCGACTCCAGGCTGCTGAGGGCATGCTGTGTGTCCATGGCTCTTGTATAGTGTGGATTATGCAATGGCTGACCAACTGGGCATCAGGCCAGACAGCCACAGGCAGTGTCAGACAAACTCTTGTTAAGATGGGGGGTTCCCTCCATGCCTCCTCTCCCGCTGGTTAAAAAGTGTCAATAGCTCATGCTTTTTATTGTAAAAGAAATGCTCTCCTAAGCACAGATATAAAACAACAACTACAAACTGCCACAACAACACACTCGCATCCCCTGCCTTGGCCTCCACGTGCGTTGGGTTGGCTGTGGACGGCAATCTGCTTTGCTGTGGGAGCACGGCTGAAACTCACCAGTTCCTGCTCCTCTTCCTCCCTCACTTATCAACCAGGACTCTGCCTGCTTCTGGACCATTAAACCCTAACGTTTCAAAGCAATAGTCCATCGGCCCAGGTTTTTGCCAAGACCATCGTGTGAGAGTGAAGCCTTCCTTCTTCAGGCTTTCGGTGAGCCCCATCATCAAAATGATGCTAATTTAATTTAATACGCCAATTATTAAAGTTTAAATTATGTGAAATTATAATTAAAGTAGGTATATTAAATACAAAGGAGTAATACTCAAAACTTATTGGTTCATAATTATTTTACTTCATTTTGCCATTATTTGTGCTGTTGAGGTTATTCCCATTAGTACGGGCTCTGTTTGGTAGAATTACTGCCTAACAGTGGGCTCGCACCCAGTGACGTCATGTGGTAGTTTGGCATTGGCCACGGTGGGAATCCTGCACCATGGAAATTGACAAATATTACAAATCAGGGCTTTCTCTCTCCCCAGGAGCCAGCTGTCAAACACGGACCAGTGCTTTCACACTGTAGTTATTATTTTCTTACTGAAGAGGGAAAGCATTTGAGCCAGGATCCTTGCCTACTCACTAATCAGGGAAGGAATCAAGAATGGATAAGAAAGGCTTCTTTGCTTTTTAAAAATTATAAAAATAATCCATCTCAGTTTATAGAAAAAAATAGAAAAAAAAAAACTTTGAAGTTCCCTGGTTCCCACATACAACTAGGGCTGGTTTCTCAGGGTCCCTTTCTTCAGTATTACTTTTCCACAAAAGGGGAAGACTGAATATTCTTAAGGAAAGACCTGTCTCCCGAGGGCTCGTTCACTACTGCCTACCCGCTGGGAAGCCTGCGGCCAGGCCAACCCGTGTTTTCGTTCGGAAACTGAGACTGCCGAGGATTAATTTGAACGTTCCTACAAATCAGAAATGCCCAAGTTACTTTAACTTAATACGGCCATTTGTAGTAATATTTGTTATTGCTTGGGGAAGTACATATTCCTTAAGTAAATTTTCAAGACTCCGTTATAAATCTCTGAAATCCTCAGACCGCAATGCTCATTCAGTCTGACATGTTAAACGTGGAAACACGAATGTAACACCGCAGGGGGAAATGTCAACTGCCAGTCCGAGGGGACCCGCTGCAACCACAGGCTGGGAAATTTACGGGGCCCGGGCAGCGCCCCGCTGGCACCGCCCGCTGCGGCCAGAGCCTGGGCCTGTCCCGCTGGGGGAGGCCACCGATGGAAGTGACCACTCGCAGCCTGAGTCTCGCTCACAAACACCTGAAGAGAATACAAACTCAGATGCGTGCCTGGTTCAGTGGCTATTATGGGGCTCCGAGAGGCGTGAGGTCCCCGGGCCTCGCTCTGGGAGGGAGAGGCGGTGGCCTCCGGAAGACCCCTCCCCATTCTGGCCCTGGGTTTCTGCTTGTTAAAACATTGGGTTTATGGATATATTCCTCCCTAGCTCCAATGGAAAGTGATTCCAGCAATAGTATCATGCAGTGTTTTCCAGACTTTTTTTAATTTTTATTTTATTTTTTAACCTCAACTCATTATTAGAAATGTTTCCCTATTGGGAGGCAGTACACACCTATGTAGAGTCAGGTCTGCATTTGCAATTCTGACATCTCCAAAGCTCCAAACGAAACTTATTTTCTTAGAGGTTTGGCAGTAAAACTCATTGGGAGACAGCCCTGACATGAATTACTTACAAACGACTTTCAACTTTATTTATTGCATTTACTGTGACTATTTACGTACTTCACGGCACAAATATTGATGTGTTTGATTACAGAGGGTGCCTCCGGTTGTACAGGGAGAGTTTCGTAACGTGAAGTGTTTGTATCCTATCACCTTTCTGAAATCAGACAAATTGGGAATTACAAAACCTCTCTGGACACAAAGATAAGCTGAATTTTATGGAAACGTCTGGAACAAAATGTC